GCAATCGTCAGTGTCATTGTGTCCCAAGCGTGTGCTTTTCCTTCTGTCTGTCTTTATTTGTATTTATTTCTTTCTTTCTGTTTGTTTTGCGTTTTTCCCCCGTGATCTTTTCTTTTAATAATTGTGTGAATTTTCGCAGAGAGTTGCAAAGTAAAGTTTTCTTTTGAATCTATCTAAACCAAAGCCGGAACTTTTCTGCTTTTCTGCGGCTGCCTCCCAACTCGAACAATTTTCACTCTCTCAAAAGTGGTTTGCATCGTTTATCATCTCTCTCTCTCTCTGTAGCGGCGTCTTTCCGAGGGGGAGAGGGGCTCTCTGTTTGAGGAAATTGATAGTTTTTATTCTCGTTTTTAAAGTCGGTTAACTGTGGGGGGCCTGTGGGAAAGTTTTTCAATTGGGTTTCGGTTAGGTAAGATTTTATGGGCCATAAAAACAGCAGCAGAACTGAACTGTCGTTTCGGTGCCTTAGAAGATTCGCAGGGCAGTAGTCAAAGTCGGAAGCGCATCGGAAAATTAACGCTGATTATTCATGGAAAATAATGCCCGAATGGTGTCTAATTATACGCTAATTAACTGCCATGTAACTGGCATACGGTTATGACTATGACGGGTATGCCATTTACTAGACTTTCACAGCAGAAAGCTGTAGCAGTGGCAAAGTAGGCAGCTTTAACAGTGTCGTAGCAGTCAGCAAAATTTAATTTTGTGCCAAATAATTACATTTTTGCACCATTAATTTTTCGTTGTTTAACCAAAATTTATTACATGCTGTAATACTATCTAATTTCGTACGCTAATAAATAATGTGTTTACTGTCCTGCCATGTGGCTTCCATATGGGTAAAAACGCGAAAATAAATGCTGTATGCTGTGGCCTAATTTGGGGATTATTTGGGAATTTAACAACCAATTAGCAATGGATTATACGCATTGATTCCCATCGATCAACTCTTTCCCCCCCAAAACCTTGCTCCCCTTCACATCTTTGTATACAATAAAAATGTTTTGCTGCATAAACATTTTGCACTTATTTCGATTGGAAACTTTTTCTATTTCAGTATTTTCCTTGACTCTATTTCGGGTGGGGGAGGCTCTAAATAATCCTCTCCCTGTCCCCGTACCCTGCCTCCATCCATATATCCGTAACATTTTTGCTAAGCACCATTTTTGTTGCTGTTGTTGTTTTATGCTTTACACGAGTATTTTTTCTGCTCTGTTTTAGTTTTTAAGGAGCCAACGTGTATCCAACGCGAAACGAATTTCCTGTCTTCAGTTTCGTTTTTGGTAACTAAAGCCCAGTGTCGGCGGAGCTTGTGCTCTGTTGTGCAGGAGGTTCTGCTGTCGGAAGTCCGCTGCAGTCGGGTTACACCCACCCACAGACACACACACCCACGGACACATCCCATCCGGCCCTATAAACCCCTGCTTGCCACACCACACCCGCTCCCGCTCCCGCTCCTGCTCTTGTTGTACCATTTTAAGTCGAGTCTGTGGCCATTTATTTATGCATGTGGAGCAAGTTTTTGCTAGCCCTGCTACTTTTTAAATGATCCTTGCTGTCGGGCGAAAGGAGAAAAAAAGAAGAAACAAAAAATCCGAATCGACATTGTCTGAGTGGGGGATAGGGATGGGATGTCCTGTTCTGTCCGCCATGTGGGCGTCTCCTGTGGCAGGCTTTCGACTGAATTTTACGTAAGTAAGACTCGAGCCGTAGTTGAGCCTCTCAGAGAGGAAGATAGAGAGAGAGCGAGAGAGAGCTGTTGTCGGAGCAAGTGAAGCGTAGTGAAGTGCTTTGATTGCATAAGAACATTTTCTCTGTCTGCCCCCTGGGTAAATTGTTCCGTTTCCCATAACCATAGTTAAAACAAGAGACTGCAGCAGGCAGGCGGATGGTAGGAAGGAAGGAAGGGAAGGGAAGGTCGAGCAAGTTGCTCAAAGATTTATGGCCTCTGGCTGAATTATACTCTTGCCACAAACTAAATGAAATAATTGAACAATGTGTGTGGAGAACAGGACTTTGCATGGACTTTGGGTGCTTCCAAGGGTCTTAGATTACAGATAACCTTCCAGTGAAGGACCCAAAAGGTGTTCCCTGTACTCCATTTGAATGTTAGTGCGCTCCATTTGGCTTATGCAAAGGTCTGAGAGTGGTTTCTGCAGCCTCATTGGAGCTGTTTCTTTTTCAGAATTTGGCATGGTATATAATCTTTAAATTCGTATATCTCTGCCTCTATAATCTCTCTCCATAAGCCATCATCGTTATGGTATATCACCTTATTTTTGCACTCTGTTTTTTGTTTTTTTTTTCTGCAACATTCTCTTGTAGCTTGAGCTAATACACTTTGCTCTGACCCCGAAAGCTCTTTCTAGCGTCCAAAAAAAAAAAATGCCTCTGGTTTCTGTAGACACATTAAAGGCAAGAAAAGGCGCTCTAAGAGCTGCCTGGCTGCCTGGCCCCCTGGAGGCACTCATTTCATAGAGCTACCAATCTAAATTACCACCAAATCCCAGATGCTCTGCACTCTCCAGTTCTCTTTTTCGCTCCTACCCTCCCCTGCCTTCGTGCCTTGCTGTTCTTTGACAGCTTTGTGGCTATCATTAGCACAAGGTACAGATCCTGACCTCCCCCACTGGCAGCAGCCGCCACCCTCCACCGTAGATGCCCCTGCAGCCACCCAAAAGACGCTGTTAAAGACTGTAATCTGTTGGCTGCACTATTTTTGCCGCTCGGGCTCACGTACCTTTTGGATAGGAGATATATTAGCCTAATTTATGCGCGAAAGTTTCCCGTCCGTTGTTGGAGGGGAGGGAGCTCCCAAGTCTCTCAATGGCTGGGCAATTTGAGCGTCCATGACTGTTAATGATTGAGTGAAGTGGAGTGGAGTGGCGTCTGAGGCAGTGAAGGGAAAAAATAGAAGAAGAAGGCGGAGGAGAAGGCCCCAGTTTCGATTGAAAGCCAGGCCAACTGCAGGCCGCATTATAAATTGTTTCTAGTCATGACACGCATTTCTACCTCTGCCTTTGCCTCTGCCTTTGCCTCCAACTGCAGTTACCTTATCCCTCCAATCAGTCAGTCAGTCAGTGAGTGAGTGAGCGAGGGAGCGAGGGAGCGGGACTTTCTCTTTTGGGGCTCTTCGTTTTAGGCCCGGGCTCATTAAATTCCGTTCACACTCTTGTACTCTCGTACGACTTCTGAGTGCCGTCTGTTGCCCTGCTGTCTGCTGCCTGCTGTCTGATGTCTGTTGTCTCTTCTGCAGTTAATCACAATTTAACTCGAGCTTTAAACTGGGTTATGGTGATGCGAAGGAGTAGCAGCCACAGCACAGCAGCCATGTGAAATCTTCTTGCTGGCTCTGTCTCTGTGGCTGTGGCTGTCTTTGTTTTTAATTTTTCCATTTTCCAAAGCCTCGAGAGTGCGGTATGTGTGGTCCGGTTCGTTTTTTTTTTTTATCTTCTATGTAGCTGTAGCTGTTGCTGCCGCTGCCGCTGCTGCTGCTTTCCTATTACCAACTTTAAAGATTGTCATGCCGCGCTCGTTTTCCATTGTTGTTTAGATGTTTTTGCACTCGTTGTGTGTATCCGCTTACATCAAACAGAAAGAGCATCAAACGGGGGGCACAACACAACTATCATGAGAGAGATTCTGGCTGAATATGCGACTAACCCAATACCCATTGAAAAATATGAAATTATATATGAAATTATTATATTATAAATTAAATTATTATATATATTATATTAGATACAAAATAAATTATTATATAAAAATTAATTTCATATTTGTGTTGCACAAATTAGAACTAACTCTTATATCTAAAACTAAGAATTATTTTAAATTTGTATGCCAAGGGAGCTATCCCTTGATCGACATTGCTCATCGATAGTTTCCAACTTCATGTCACATTCATACAATCCTCCAATGATCACTGGGCCATCCATCCAAACACAACAATGACAAAAAGCACAACAAATACATTGGAAAACTTCCGTTGTAACGGCTCTAGATATTTATATGCCCATTCCTCTTTATGCTTGCTGTTAATTTTTTCTATCCCCTCCCCGTGTCTCCACTGCCTTTGCATACATACATACATACATACATATATGTATGTACATGTATATACTTATGCTCAAAAGGCACAAAGATATAGAAGAACTTCAGAGGAAGAAGGGGCGGGACGTTCCGTTCGTTTGTAGTCTGTTCGCGTCACTCTGCCCGGCATCTCCTATACACACACACACACACACACACACACACACACACAGTGACACACAAAAGTGTGTCGCCATGTTCATTAAAAAGCAAATGGGCAAGCACTTGTTAAATTAATAAACGACAAAAAACGACAGACAGAGGGACGAACGGACGGACGGACGGAAGAGCAGGGAAAAACAGAACGCGATGGATGCTATGGAAACTCTGCTCTCAATCTCAAGGAAGTGCTTTGCTCGCGGATGAGAAGGGAGCGTGGGGAGCCAATGGGAGATGGAATGAATACCTTCTGGGACTCGGATTGGGCCTGGCACTGGGACAGAGAATGCCTTTTATGTTTTCACGCTCCTCCAGAGCTTCGAATTCCATTGCTCTTTTATCAAAACAGTTTTTTATTGTAATGAAAAATAATTTAATTAATTTGGATTTATTTTTAAGAAGCTTTGTAAGGGATACTACGTTATTTGAAAGAGGAAGGAATGTAACCCCTCTCACAAGGGTATTTTTGTAGAACAGCACCTTTGGATACAAGATACAACGACAGTTTGTATTCCCCTAGTTTCCAACAATTTTCTGTACAATTCTGTAGTTTTTATTCAACGTTTCTGCTTTCAATACCATTTGAAACTTCTTTGCTTTATATTTAATACGATCCCAGACTTCAAGTGAAACTTCTTTTAAGTTTTCTTCATTTTATCGTTTTTCATCGTCCAAACCAACAAAAACTTCTTCTTCATTTCGGCTCAAACCTTCCATCCTTGACCTTCCACAATCTGCTGCGCCGTCCCAAAAAAAAAGAAAACGCCACCCCAAGCAATAAATTGATTTTTCTGTTGTATTTTGCAATCTGTTCCATTTGGCTGGCAGATTTGTTAAACAGATTGTCAACATTTAAACTGCAAACAGGGGAGCCTTGGAGACACATGATTACCTGTTCGAAATTCTCTCTCCAGAGGGGCACCGACACCTCCTCCCATCGTGCCGCTGGCCATGCTTCGTAGGATCTATAAAATCATAAAATTCTGTGCCTTAGTTTCCGTGGAATTTGGTTTGTCAACGCCGGCGGATGGTAATATATATTGTTATAAAATAATACAAAATGCCGAGAGCTTTTCTCTTCTCTTGGTTGTATCCTACCCCGTCTCCTCGGGTTGGCCTGATGCCGTGGCCTTTATATATTTTTTTGTTTGCCGGCTTTTTGGCTCTTGGCCAAAAAGGAAAATGTTGTCTTTGCCACACGTTTTCTCGCTTTTCCCTCATTTCTTTGCTCTTTCTTTTGTGTCTTTCTGTGTGCGAGTGTGGCTAACACGGACATTTGCGCTACTCTCCGGCTAAAAACCCGCACTTGAACAACTCTGCCCCCGAATACCATGCCATACATATTTTATTTCGCTTGCGTTTTAGTTTTTCCTTCTCTTTGGTTTTTGTGGCACACGCAAACCAGGAAGGAGGCAAGGAATGGAATGGGATGGAGCCACAGCCTACTCCAGGAACTAATTCCCATAACTATAAGCGTGCCCTCGCCATATGTGTGTGTGTGTGTGTGTGGGGGGTTTGTCGGAGTACATCTGTCGATCGCACGTGTGCAGGACCTGACATCAACCCAAGGCCGGTTCCTTTCCTTTCCTTTACTTCCCTCACGGGTAACTGAATTAGCAGTCCGTCCCCGCTTTGATACTGATACAGACATTAGCTAGTACATATGTATGTGTGTAAATATTTATGTATTTATGTACATTACGAGGGTTTGAGTGGGTTTTGTGTTCTCTATCTATCCTCAGTTGTCACGAAATATTCCAATTTTGTATTAAATATTTAAAAGCTCCTGGAGATATGCATTAGGTATCCAAGGTATCTGCCATAAAAGGTTATTATATTATGAATTTTATAATTTTTTGGTGCAGCTTCAAAGTTTAACTCTTCTGCCATTTTTTGCTTATAATTTAGCTAAGTTCGGATGAAAGATATGTATACTCTATATGTATATATATGTATGATAATAAGGTATCAGGTATTTGCATAAACGTAGGGGAAAATTAGGCCGAAAATTAGGCCATGTTCACGACGTTATTAGGGAGTGACAATACCGCTTTATGCTTCAGATTTGATCTATAAACTGATCTACGCAGCAGATATAAAGATAATGCCATAAAGTACATTGTAATTAAGCTATAAAGCATATTCAGACAATAGATACGCCGCTTTCGGGGTTGGGCAATACATCTTGATAATGCCAAAGACATGAATGAACCATAAAATAATTATGCATAATTCTACTTATCTGATGTTTGCATAAATTATGTTTTAATTAAGCCATAAAGTATATTTTGAAGGAAGTGTTGCCGCCTTAGGGAGTGACAATACTTCTTTACATGTACTTTGTGCCTGCAATGTGTGATCCATAAAACCAGTTAGAGATTTCACAATGTTTGAGATTCCAATCTAGAACATCAAATGGTGTGTACACCTGACTTATCCATATAATAATAAATAAAATTGAAGGCCTTGTAAATTATACCTTTTTGGGTGTGAATAATATCCATTAATCAGCAATCAAAACTTAAGTTGTGTCTTATAAGAAAACTATCATATTACATAAATTATACTTGACCTCGACTGACTCTCTAGCATTTTGTTTATAAGCATTGTTTTTGGCATTCTTCAATAGATATTTTAGTACGAATAAATGTATGAATTTAGCACAAATTCTTCTACAAAAATAGTTGTGGCTGCTGCGGTTATTCCATATATTACTCGTATAATGAAATATTTTTGTATAATTAGTTGTGGCATTTCCATGAGGCCCAAATGGGTCACACAGAGACCCATCTTTTGGGCTTTTGGGGGGCTCGTACTTGTCTCATTTCTCTCGCTCATTTGCACTGTGTGTAAGCCATGGCGATGACAAGCTGGCTGACAGGCTGCGATATTCTCCAGCGATATTTCATTTGGGGTCGCTGTCGCTTAGTTCCGCCACTCATTACATAAGCCTTTCCACATGGCATTGCATAATGGCGCACTGTGCCCGTGCCCGTGCCCCAAACTCTCAGAGCTGCTCCTCCCGTCTTTTTGTTGCTTCAAATTAAGTTTTAAGCATCGTCGAGCGGGACGATGACGCTCTGTCAGGCGTTGCTCGTTAGTACGTGTCAGTGGCACAGCCACAGCCGCACAATATGCACTACACTCTGTCCTCCTCCTCCTCCTCATACTACTACTACTGCTACGACCTACGAGAGTATCTCCAAATCCTCAAATGCCTCTATGGATGCCTCTCCCTACAGCCGCCTCCCAGTCACGTCCTTTTGTTGCAGACCCACAAAATCTTTGGCATTGCGGCAGCAGGAGGCGATAGGGGGAAGGAACACTTGTCTAACGCTTTTCCTGGTGTGTTATTTTTTCCTGTGTGTAATTCCATTATTTTACAAAAATACTCTGCAGTCAGCGGAAATATTTTGATATCTTGATACGGAAAAGGGGCAGAAGCAGCTTACTTTTGACTGTGAAAAAGGGGGAAAAAGAGTTAATTCTCTAAAGAAGAAACTATCTACATATATCTGCCACTAAAATCTCATTCAATTACAGCATTTTGCAGAAGAATGTACAACAAAATGCGGAGAAGAAACTCCTGAATTCCCAAAATTCCCAAACAGCTAGAAAATGTCTGTAGAGTTGATAGCAAGATATATTCTCCATTTCATTAGATGGAATCCCATCCAAGTAAACCATCTTCTGGCATAATCTTTCACAAAATGCCTTCACCATGTAAGAATCTCCTCTTACTAGTGGGATAGCCACAATCGGCAATGCCACAGATTTGTCTGCTCCTTCATCCACTTTATACTATACCGACACACAATTTGTTTAAATATTTGAAGCAGCCAGAAGAGGAGAGACACACGGAACGTACAACTTTTGGTATTCCCAACGGCAGACAGAGAGGGAGGAGAACGCTGAAATAAACCATCCTTAGAGCAGGAGGAGCTGGAGTACTACCCTCCTTGCCTCCTCTTTGGCGGCAAACAAGTTTGGTTTTACCTGCGAAATTTTCCATTTCATTTGCTTTGGCCAACATTTTGTTGCATGTTATTTGGGTTGCTACTGCTATTGCTGGCTGCTGGCTGCCTCCTGACGGAATGAACAACTGACACATTGAGCTCAAATTCTATTAGCCAAAAGTCCGTGTTGCAATTTTCTCCGACATGTTTCGCTCAAGTGCTCCAACGGCTGTCTGTCTGTCTGTACGCAGCACGTGCCCCAAAACAGAGGGGCACGGGGAAAACAAAGCGAGTGCCCTTGCAAAATAGAAAAAGAAAAGATAACCCTGAACTAATGTTCGCAACTCATCAAAGGGAAAATTGCAAAGATAAAGCTACAATTGAGGATTGTTTTTTTTGCAGCCATAGGAAATTATTTAGAGCAAGGAAATTAGTTGCAGAAAATACAGAAAAGTATCTACTAATGGTGGAACCATTTGGAAATAAATTTGGAAATATGTGGAAACATTTGAGGAATTCCATTTAAATATTTCTTGGTGCAATAGTTCGATTTTCTCGTAGGCAAAAACGTGGCTAAAAGTCGATCAAATGAATGCTCTGAAATGGGGTTTTATAGACCGCAACTCTGGCCTCGATTGGATTGGCTTGGCTTGGCTCTCTGCACTCCACTTCCCGTATCGAATTTCAGTTATGGCTGGTTATAATGGATCCGCAGATCTCAGAGAACAAGGTTGTCATGGCTCTGGCTGTGGCTCTGTCTGTGGGTCCACCGTTGGCTCTGTCATCGTCATTATTGGCTCATTATAATTATCAAGTTGCAATTTCTCGCTGCTCGCTGCTCGCTGCTCTCCGCTCTCCAGACAATTCATTCTGCTCTAAATTATTTCCCCTCCCTCTCTGGCTATGCGGCTATGCCACACGCCTTTGCCGTTGGTTGGCTCTTGGCTGTTCGCTGCCGCTGCTGCTGCTGCTGCTGCTGCTGGCTGCAACATTCGAAAACTGTAAATTGTTGCCACAATAATCGCAATAATTAAAAGCGAGCAACCGGCCACAAATCATGAAAAAGAGCAGGAGCTGCGCAGCGTGAAAAGCAACAGCCGAAGCGGCGGGGGGGTGAATGGGAAATGCTTCAGAGGTAATTGTGGAAAATCTAGAACAGCGCGCTCTGTTTGTGGCCCAGGGATCGGTCGTGGGGCGTTTTTGTGAAAGGGTTCTCCAGCCGATCGGCAATTAAAATAAATGACTCGACGGCATTCGGAGGCGCTCTCCTTTTGATGTGTGCCATGGATACTCCGCGTATGGCAGATAAGCCATTGAAATTGAGAAGGAAATTGCATTCGAGGGAGGCAAGAGGCAAGCCATGCCCGTCCATTTGTTCGATAAAACTAAGACATTGAGTGCCCAAGATACGGAAATTGGCCGAAGAAAAGGTGGCCAGAAATCTGTTCTCCCATAAATGAACACCAGAACGCGCAAATTTCTCCTTCCAATATGCCATTACCATTACCATTATCTAATCACCGCAAAAGCAGATGAGAAATTTGCATTTCGAGGTGACTTTTAATCTCGTTTTCGTTTGCAGTCTCAGGTAAAAATATCTGTCGACTTTTGTGGTAAACAGATAGCTGGCCTTTTTTTTTTTACGATATTTATATATACATATATATGTATGTATGTATATTAGTGTACCTTTCTGGGGTTTATCTTCCGACTTGGACTTGTTTTGTTTGCTGGAGCTTTCTGCCACTTAACCTTGGGATTGGCGCCCAACGTGACTTTTGCTTAACAACCTGAACCACGTCCCAAAAGGCAGATGTGGCACTCTGCGTATCTTTCCCCGCAGTCCTGGTCCTCACTGTGGCAACAAAGACAAACAACAGTGTCAACTCATTCGGACGCACACAGCAGGTGGGTGTGTTGCATGGCGGGGGCATGGGGCAGGGGATGGGGCACAGCGGCCACATACAAAGTTACGCAGTTCACTTTTCCTTTTCAGTTTTCTGGGACTCTCTTGGTATTTTTTGTTGGATACCCTTGGCACTGAGGGAAAGAAATAGCCATCTACGACCTCAGCAGAGCCTTTAGCGGCGACGTCTCTGTGTGCCAGACGCAGTATAGCGAAAGGAGAGATTTATCGCATAGAAATATTATAGAATAAATAAATAAAACCCCCTTAAAACTGTATAGAAACAATCAACTTGAAAGGGTATAGCCATATTCTCCTTGCTTACTTTGTTTTTTGTGTACTTCGTTTGCATATGTCACAGAAGCGAAGGGGCCATGAAACGGGGCCAGAAACAGGCAAGGAAGCAGCGGCGAGACACCTGGGCTCTGTGGCTGAGTGTGTCACCGAGTGACTGTTCCGCCGATTGCTCCTTGATGTTTAATTAAGGTGCAGAGTCAAGGATTTGCATGCATACAGAAAAGGTGTTTAATAAATCGAAATGAAGGGAAAGAGGGAGACAGAGAGAGAGAGAGAGAGAGAGATAAAAAGAGGTTTTTAAATCGAAAACAACGAACATGCAAAAAAGTGAATGGCATGGAAAGTTTCGGATGAGTCAAGTTTCGGAAATGCATCTTGAGAGGCAATACAAAGTGCATCTCGAAATGCAAAGCGCAGCTGTTCAATTGGCATTTCGTGTATATGTATACATAACTATATATACATACATATATTTACTCGTTGTTTTGAGTCTCTTTCCATTCTGTTCCTAACACTTGTTGCAATATAATTAGAAGACAAGTATCATTATTTGCAGATCGTGTGTCGCTTCGAGCAAATATTTGGCTATTTATTTTATGGCTCAGTTTAAAGGTTCTCCAAACCAGAGGAAGCTTCCTGCTTTCATTTTTCTTGAAGCTCAGCTTTTGCCAAAACATTCAGTCGTAGTATCTCCTGCGGCCATCCGCAAGGAATGAAGAAACAATAGGAGTACGAGCATCGATCAGATCTCTACTCTGTGGCCGAACATGAGCACAATGCAATTGAAAAGCGCCGACCAACCAACAGACAGACATACTGTACAAACCGACAGACAGACAGTCATCAAATGCATCTCCTATTGAGATTTGCGGGCAAGCAGGCAGGCAGGAGACTGGAGGATGGAGGATGGAGGCTGGGCCTAGACGTAGATACAGTTTATTGTATAATTTTTATTACCTTTGCAACAGCTACACAGCACGAGAGCCTCAGAGGGAAAAGATAAACAGATACAGCGAGAGAGGGGCTGGGGGGTTGGCGGATCCAACCTTGCGCCGCATATCTGCAAGTTGTTTAAATTAGTTCTATTCTTGTGCAATTTTCTACGTGGCACCTTTTGTGCAGTCGTCGTCGTCGACGCTATGGATGTGGCTGTGGCTGTGGCAGTCGCATTCTTCGTTGCATTGTTAGCCACGCTTTCCTCCAACCCAACCCCATACCCCCCTACCAGCCCCCTTTAGCCTCTGCTGCTGCATCGGACAATTGCATTCGCCAGTTCGTTTTGTATCTGTATCTGTATCTCTGTAGCTGGCGAAGCGTGCCCGCTCTTCCTCTGCCTCATCGCGATATGAATGCACTCTCGTACCTATGCCTCCCGTCCGTCCGTCCGTCCGTCTGTCCTTCTGTCCGTGTATTGTGTATCTATGTAATTTGCGCACATTTTGCCGTCTGTAATAAACGCGAAATTAGTTTTAGCTCTGCCCGATTCTTGCTCGTTCCAATGGGAAAATAATATACTCAAAATTGATTTTATTATGTGAAGATTTGATTCGCTTACCGCCCGCTTGCCTCTCACCTCCATCTTTTGTGGTATTTCTCGATGATGGTGCAGTCTTTCAGCTGCCATGAAGAGGAGTTCGTTCGGTGGAGTCCGTTAGTCCGTTTTCCATTGTATTTTAGCCATGAAATTCGTATCGGGATGAAAAGTATAGCGCTATTTGTTCATAAATTGATTGTGATTATCTCGTATACTTTAGAGCGAATTGTTACAATGGTATTTATTCGTGTGGTATTTTAGGTATTTTACACATATGGAATTATTTTTGATAATTTTTCTCTCATAGTACTTCTTTTTTCAAATAAGATTTTTCTAGTTTTTTCTACATATTTTGTATATACATATTTTTATTATTTTCTTTCTGTTTTTTCTCAGTATAATTTTTATTGAGAATATTCTAGTATTTTTGTTGTTTTGTTTTTGTATTTATTTATTCAATTTGTAAGCTGTTTTGTCTTCACACACTTCAACTTTACATGTTTTCCTTATGTATGTATATATTTTTTCCTTGGTTTCACCTAAATATTGCTTAAGATTCAGTTGAAATATTTTCCTTTCCAAGTAGCATATGCTCGGGTACGGGGGGTACTCATACCTTATTACTTTCTGTTCCAGTTTTCCCTCCCAACTGCATTTCCAACTGCAGCTGCATTCTTGGGCTGTGCAATTGCAGTTCCGTTTCATTCCCTTTGCGTTCAGTTTTCCTGTGGTTCGCCTTTCGACTGGGGCTTGGACTGGGGCTGGTGCTTGGACTGTGGCTGGGGCTATTTGTCACAGATCTGCAGCAATTTATCGCTCGCTTTTGCTCCAAATAATGGCAAAGTCCACACGGGTTACCCTTTCGTGCTCCATAAACAACGCTGGTCACACTCCACCGCTCTGCCCACCTCTCGCTGATGTGTGTAAAGGCCCCTGCCCTACCTTCGCTCGTGTGAGGCCCGGGTCCCGTACCCGTACCCGTACCTTCTCCCATGTACATACATATTTATGTATTTATGTAGTACCTTCTCCTGCCACATGCAGATGTGTCTGCTGGGTGCTCGGTGTGGGAAGCAGCAGCAGCGGCAGCAGGAGCGGACGGACACAACGTGCTCTGCATTGATTTTGGGGCAGACCTTGGCTCGGATTCGGATATTTATGATTGTTTTAATTCATTTCCGTGGGCGTTTCCCTTCTGTGAATTGGACCCAACTTGTAATTGCCTTTCCTTAAGCTCACCCTCTGCGATGCAATCCAACTTTATTAACTTTAATCTCTCTTAGGTATGGTAACCAGAACGACCATGAAACTAGCTTAAGGCTCAAGATATGCATGGAAAGTGTTTGCTAATCAAGATATTTAAGTGCTCCATCGCTCCAGTGAGTATTCTTCAGAGAGAACTCTGTAACAAAACGGACGATAAGCAGGCGTTGACTTGGTTTTATCAGCTATATTTTATCTGTGAGATACATTGCTCTTTGTACCAGTATTTGCGCTTGCAAGCGAATGCAATTTACACCAAAAGTTCATTAATAAATCACACAGAGCCTGAGACAGAGAGAGAGCACTAAAGCAAGACTGGGAGAGTGGCCAGCCCCCCACACACACACACAAAAAGAAGAGAGTGGAGAGAGGGAGGGGCAATTTTTAACTGAAATAAAATGAAGTGTCAAATGTAGGGAGCGGCCACGCCCAGCATGTCGAAAGCATCGGCGTTTCCTGACAGCAAGTGCTGCAATTTACTTAAGAGCCAAGGAGACGAAGAAATACAAAAAAAAAAAAAAGTTACCCATTTACATGACAATCAGACGACGGGAAAAGGAAGGGGAAGAAGGTTCAGGGAAGGTACATGAACTCCCAAGAGGTGGGTCTGTTTACATCATGTTATTGAATGAGGAAAGAAAAAGGAGAAGGGATCTACAACGGGATTTCTACTCTACATTTAATCTTGTTTTTTACTTGATTGATGCTACAATGCGGAGCGCTACAATTTTGCGTATTTATTTATTATTAAGATGTGAGAAAGTGTATACAATTTTCGACTCTTTTTCCTTTTTTAATGTATTCCTTACTGGTTACATTTAATTGCATTTTGGGCCACAGGCACTCGCACAGCCAAAGTGAAAGGAAGGTCTGAATCCAACTGGATTTATGTGGGTGATGTACGCGTATAGTTCTTGAATATCTCTTGAATATGTTAACCGAAGGCCCCATCTCCCCCGGACTCGACTCTTTCATTGCTGAATATGAATTGAATCGATGTTGCAGCTTCAGCCGAGGCACTTGCCTGGCATCTGGCTGCCACTCTCGCGTCGAGTCGCAAAAGTCTTTCACTTTACGCTTTCTTAGCTGCAGCCCAAACCAAAAGTCACTGGGAGTCGCGTAGCCAGCGAGGCATAATGACGGCGATAAGTCATTAAGTAGCTCAACGCCGAACCGAACTGAACCGAACTGAACCGAACAGACCGTCGTTCAGCTTAGCTTCTCAGCTCAGCTCAGCTCCTCGACACGGAACCGAGAGCTCTCTTCAGATGACGTCGTTAAGAGGCAAAGCCAAGTCAATAGTTGGAAGAGGAGAAAAAAGAGAGGGCGTAGAATGCGGGGGAGCAGCAGGAGCAGGAGAAGGTGGTATCCCATTCAAGAGTTCCATAATGTTTTCCTAAGGAAACAGAGGGCGCGAGACCCTATTCGTGGGTGAACTTTAAAGAAATCAATAGGCAGGAAAAGAGTTCTAAACTGCTGCATTAGCAGAGGAAACCTCAAGGAATTTCCCGCCCGCCCCCTAATCACTTTCGGGTCCATCCATAAACCAACTTTCCATCGCTTGCGTCTGCAGTTTTCCTGCAAACAAAAACCTTCTTCTCTCTCCTTCTCTCTCTCTTGCTCTTTCTCTCTCGCTCGTGCATAAATCATTTCACTTGATTTCATTTGCCATAAGCTCTGCCCCCCGAGTATTCCCTTGATTTTAATTAAAAGTTTCAAGTGCCGCCGCCTCACATAAATTCCAATCAATATTTTAGTGTCTCTCCATTGATTTTACTCGGCAGGAGTGTCCGTAGTTTTCCCAGGAGCAGGCGTCGTGCGAAATTCAATTAGATCAGAAGTCAATCAAGTTCGGTCTCGGGCATAAAAGGACAATTTCTGAATGCATTAATTATTCTCCCCTGCAGAACTTTTGTCTACGGGCACTGTTTGGGGGATGGGGGCTATAATTGCACAAGTTTTTGGGGAAATTAGTTTGATAATCGAATGAATTACGGACAGGCATTGGACTGATTAATACCGATTAGAAAAGGTCGCATTAGAGCGGAATATTTGTACGATTTATTCTATTTTCGGCAAACAATAAAAAAGCTTTGCTTAAGTCATTATAATATATTATACATATCGTAGCCAACAAATTGCCTCCCCCGACCACACATTGCGGCGTCCCCCTCCGTCATCATCAGCAGCTGCACACACATGG